GGAAGGCGGTGCTGAGAGCAGCTCCGTGGATCTGAGAATGAGGAAGGAGAGATGTAAAAGAATAATGGGAAAGGGGCTTGGGATTTTTTTAGCAATAAAAACTTGAGCAGTAGAACAGGTAGAGCAGAGGGGAAGACTGGAGTGAGTATCCCAAAAAGCCTGTGAGGGACTTTAAATTTTTAGTAACCTGTTTTTAGTAATGATAAAAGTAACTTTAAAGGCCATTTTTATTACATTTTGGATAGTCCTGGTGGGACCCTGTGTGGGCACTGACAGGAGAAGAGAGGAGTGAATGGGTGGAGAGATACCCCAGTACCTGTTACTTCAACAAGGGGCAATGGTCTGAGAACTGGCGGAGGTTTGGGTTCCATCAGGTAGCCCCTGTATGTTTACATCCTTATGACTTACAGAAGAAGTCTGTTTTTCCCCCATATAGCTTTAATTGTTTGTGGCTTTGATAGTTTGCTGAGCAAACATAGTAATCTAGGTTAGCCAACCTGCATCTGGCTCTCGTGTCCCTACATCCATAATGTTTGTTTTTATTATCTATGATATGGAAGGGATTTAATGGAATTTTAGTGGGATCCTCTTCATCAGGGATACCCAATAGAAAAGATCTATAGCCAATTGACAAATGTCTGGGTGGAGAGATGGCCATCAGGTCCTTAAGGGGGCTGTATGCAAGATAGACCATACTTCCTGTTCAGTAGGATTTATGATCAGCCATTGTTGTTGAATGGGCTGATGAGGGTTAGGACTACTGGTGGTCAAGGGGAGAATCTATAGCCTTATCCACATGGTGAATACGCAATTTGAGAGGGTTACCAGTCTTTTCCAATTCCCAGCCAGAGTCTGGATAGGGCGCAGGCTTGAGATGAGAGGCATGGATCCAGGAAGTGATTCCATTTACCTTTACCACTGTAGGTGTTATAAGTAGCACCTGGTATGGTCCTTTCCAGCGGGGTTCTAGGGATGACATCTGATGTTGTCTTATATAGATGAAGTTTCCTACTTGATATCGGTGTGGAGTTCCTTTGTCCCCAGGTTGGTAGGCAGTGGCCAGCTGTTTCCACAGGTATCACTGGGTTTTTTCAAGAGCTTTAAGTCTGTCAAGCAAGGGGGTGTGGAAGGGATTGTTAGGTCCTAGAGTTGGGGTTAGGTCCCTTACTGGAGGAGGGGCACAATAGAGAATTTTATAGGGGGTGAGGTTACACAAAGAAACAGAGGGAGTATATTTTTGTACAAAACAGTGCATAAGGCAGGAGCATAGTCCAATCTTTTATGCTGGTCTCCAAGCTTAATTTTGTCAAGGTCTCTTTAATGGTTTTATTTATTTATTTTTTACCTGTCCTGAGCTTTGGGGTCTATAAGCATAATGTAATTTCCAATTAATCCCCAGGGTCCTGGTTAACCCCTGACTTACCTGGGCCACGAACGCCGGTCCATTATCAGACCCTATTACCTTAGGCAGGCCATATCTTGGAAAAATATCTTTCAGGATCTTCTTGACTACCATTTGTGCCATTTCTTTTTTTGTGGGGAAGGCTTCAATTCATCCTGAAAATGTATCTACAAAGATTAGGAGATATTTAGGTCCATACCTTGCTGGCTTAATTTCAGTAAAGTCCATTTTCCAAAATTGTCCTGGTCTGGTCCCTCGAAGGCGCCTTCCTACAGGGAGCTTGGAAGGGTAAGCATTAACCAATCGATAGACCTGACAGGCTTTTGTTACCCGTTCAGCTATTTCCTTTTGTTGTGAGCTGGTTAGTGGAAAATTCTGTTCTTGATCTTTTAGGAATGTTTGCAATTTTTTTTGAACTAAGGTGAGTGAGTTGATGTACATTTTTAATGTAGTGTAGGGCTTTCTGAGATTGCAGGCTGGACTCAGTAAAGTCGAGGAGTTCAGTGTCAGTGTCCTTATGTTCTCCCAGTGTAGAAAGTGTTAACATGGTTACTCTGTTTAGGGCTGCCAATTTAGCCTCTTTATTTGCCCTCTTGTTAGATGGGGGTGATATCTGCACAACGGTTTGTTTTCTGGGCTCAGTGAGCCATTGTTTATCGCCCCTAAGGGAATAGTTCAGGAAGATTACTTCTTGTTGGAAAATTTGGGCCTTTTTGGCAGAAGCTCGGATAATAGTGCTTGGGTCCTAGATTCACAGTTTTCCTTGGTATCGGCTGTCAGTAGCAGGTCATCCATATATTGAAGCAGGGTGACTTCGGGGTGCATAGTTCTGAAGTTGTTGAGATCTCTTTGGAGGGCTTCATCAAAGAGAGTGGGGGAGTTTTTGAACCCCTATGGGAGTCTGGTCCAAGTTAGTTGACCAGACGTTCTGGTTTCTGGGTCTACGCACTCGAAAGCAAACAGCAACTATCTTTATGCAGAGGCAAGCAAAAGAAAGCATCTTTTAAGTCTAGGACAGTATACCATTTTTGATCAGGGTTTAGGGTGCTAAGCAGATTGTACGGGTTAGGTACTGTGGAGTGAATGTCCTACACTCTGTTGTTGGTCTCTCTTAGATCTTGAATGGGGCGATAGTCCCCAGTTTCTGCCTTTTTTACTGGTAGCAGGGGAGTGTTCCAGGCTGATTGACAGGGCCTTAGGACCCCCAAGGCCAGATATTTCTGAATATGGGGCCTTATCCCATCTTTAGCTTCTTTGCTCAGAGGATATTGTTTAATATTAATTGGGGAGGCTGAAGTTTTTAACTCCACCATTATTGGAGGTTGTTTTATGGCTAGGCCTAATTTAGCAGTTTCTGCCCAGGCATCTGGGTAATCTGTTATCCATTTCTGGGATAGCTTTCCTGTTTGATCAGTTTTGGGGGTGTGTGAAGAGTTGATGTTCATCTTTTACTGATATAGTTAAAGCCATGACTATAAAAGTTTTTACTGAAGGATTTAGAAATTCCATTTGGGGGCCTTCAGGGTTAAAAGTTATTCTGGCCTGGAGTTTGGTGAGCAGATCCCTGCCCATCAATGGGGCTGGGCATTCTGGGATCACTAGGAAGGAGTGATGGACTTTTCCTTTTCCCAGGTCCATGGTCCTCTTAGTTGTCCAAGCCCGATATTTACTGCCGTTAGCCCCTGAATTAGAGACTTTTTAGTTGATAGAGGGCCCAGTGGGGCCTTAAGGGCTGAGTATACTGCCCCTGTATCCATTTCAAAGTTTACTGGGGTCCCCTCCATTTTAAAAGTTACCCTGAGCTCGGGGAGAGGATCCAAGCCCCGACTTTCGTAGTCATCCTCCAGAGTTAGAATGGCTGGTTGGCGTGGCTACTTCTTTTAGGGCACTCTTTGGCCCAGTGTCCTTTTTTTCTACAGTAGGCACATTGATCTGAAGCCAGAGGTGGCTTTTGGCATGGGCCCAGGTATTTCTTTCTGTCTCCCTGTCTCTTAATTTCTGACCTATTTTTTGTTGTGACCAGGACCTTAGTCAATGCCTTAGTCTGTCTTTTGCTTCTTTCATCCTCCCTTTGCTTCCTTTCTTTCTCCCTCCTTCTCTTCCTTAGTTTCTCTCTTATAGTATACCTTCTCAGCTTCTCTGACTAAATCTCTCAAAGTCATATCTTGTAATCCATCTAAGCGTTGTAACTTTTTTTTTTTAATATCCAGGGCAGCTTTCCCAATAAAGGCATCAGAAGTCCTGTCTGTATGACTGTGGAAGAACCAATTGGAAGCCCGTGAAAGTGTGGGAGGTGGGACCAGGAAGCCCCCTCTTCCTGCCAGGCATCCGTGGTTACCATGGTGACGCAAACAACATGGAGTCCGCTGCCCATTGTCTGGCAAAAGTTCCCCAAGTTTTCCTAGCCAATTGCATTTTGTTTAATTTTGTTTGAATTTCCCCCACCTGGCCAAGATCCTACTGCGGTGGCAGCTTGCTTTGTCTCTGTGACCTGGGGTTGCAGCCTGTGTACTCCTGCATCCTGCACTTTTTTCTGTGGCACGTGGGTGCTCCAAAAGTTTTTTAGCGGCAGACACCAGCGTTACCATCAGATCTTAAGCTAGTCTGTGTTCACATTTAGGTCAAGTCATTTAAGGGTTAAAAGCACTGCTGGCCGCAGGGGCTAGGACCCCATAGAGAGCAGCAAGCAGCAGCGGCTAAAGTCTCTTGTCCCCAGCGGCTGAGTCACAGCCATTCTAATTCATAGGACAATCATGTAGCAAAAAAGGTCAGTATATACTTTCTGAGTATTGACAAAAACAATAGAAAATTGAAATTTATTTCTCTCCAGGTATACATGACAACATTTTCTCTCCCTTTTTCTCACTCTCCTAGCACAAACTTCTACAATATAAAGGCCAAAAAAAAATCTTTTTTTTAAAGCATTTACAAAAACAATTTTTAAAAAATTTCACAAAAGCGCTCTTTCCATGGAGAGGACTCAACAACCTAGCCCATCAATCATCTTAATAACTATATTTATTTAGAGTCTCTACAATTATACCCCAATATTAAAAATTTTAACGTCACAGATTTTCCTTTTGTCTAATTCACTTACTTTCTACAATTCTGCCCACAATACTCTGCAATCCTAAACATGCTTAACTTCTGGAGAGAATTACCAAACTCATTAACTTTCTTTAGTATTTAAATTGGAGTTCCCTTAGGAGCCAGCATTTGTCGCGCTTTTGTCCCAGAGGCTTAAAGACTCAGACCTTTCAGCCCACGTTGGACGCCAATTGCCGGGTTTCTGTTCTTGGTTTCTGTTCTCGTAACTAAAAGGCTCAGGGGTCACTCCAGTTAAACTGGGCTGCTCGAAATAACCACACAAGAGACACAAATACCTTTTTCTTTGGGGTCGCTGTGACAGCTCCTCTGACCTTAGTGTTTCCCCTTTCCCACCCTCCCCCTGGTCCTTTCATTTACTCTACTGATGTCTCCTGTTTTCTTATCCTTCCCACATCTCTCTCCCCTTATTCCTCTCTGGCTTCCATATATGAGAGAAAAGATACAATTATTGACTTTCTGAGTAAGTGGGACTTTTTGGAGAGCTGCTAGGTAGATAAAATAGAGATGTTTTTCTGGGGGTGGGGCATTTTAGGAGGCTCCTAACACATTTTTCTCACTTCAGTGTCTTGTAGGCTGATTTTTGTTTTCAGTTATCATGGTTCCAATTCTGTTAGCTTTCAAGGATCCTGCAGAGCTGGAGAATAGGGCAAACTAAGCCACATAGGGTAAGATGGTGGTCAACTAAGGTCCTACAACATTCGTCTCACCACGGAAACATAAATTTTAACAGCGATTCACCATGACATTACCTTCTCAAGTGCTAAGGAAATCAAATGAGAGACCACAAAACCTGGTTTTAGAAAAATAATACCAAGAAAAGACACATTGAAGGACATCAGGAAGAAAAGAGTTCCTTGTATTCACCCTTTTTCAACTCCAAGCAAAGCAGACTAGAAGAGTTATTACCTGCTTGGAGGAGGGGAGGGAGTTAAATCCAGGCCTTAAGTTTGAAACTAATATCAGGACCTAGACAGTGAAACACAGTAGCAGGCAGAGCCCCATGGCCCCTGCCTTCAGGCCAGTGCCAGTGGATCAAGCCTCTGGACCTACATGAGCTAGACCATTAAAGGATTGCCTTCATGCATCCTGTAATCTCATCATAGTATAGAGCAAGACTCCTTCTGCTTGGGGTGGGACAGAGGCACAGGCAAAAGACCCTACGGTGCCAGATCAGTGTGAGAACATGATGCTAGGTGAATCCTGGTGGTTCCTGTGTCCAGGTCAATGATTGGAGCCTCTGGACTCACCCTGGTGCAGATGGAGACCATGTTCCTGGTTAGATTGACTGATAGCTGGTTGTGGCAGTTGTGGGTCATGACTAGATGACAGCAACATGCAGGCCATAGAAAGATGGGCTTAATCCAGCCCTTGTGCTGCATTGGTCTCGGTGTACCTTGAGCTTCGTGTATGACCTAGAATTGCAGTTGTGGTTTGGATCTGAGATGTCCCCCAAAGGCTCTCATGTTGAAAATTTGATCCCAAATGCAGCAACATTCAAAGGTGGGGCTTTTGGACCATGAGGGTTCTGAACTCATCAATGGATTAATCCATTTAATGAATTAATTACTTAACAAATGGTGAAATGGTGGTGAAAACTGTAGGTAGATGCACATGATTGTAGAAAGCAGGTCACTTGCAGCCTGACTTTTGGCATATTCTATCCCTTCCCTTCCCCATCCTGACCAACCACACAGCTTTCCTCAGCCATTTCCTTCTGCCATAATAGTCTGCCTCACCTGAGGTTCAAAGTAATGGAAATACCCAACCATGGTCCAAAACTTATAAAGCAATGAACTAAAATTGGTCTTTCTTCCATGAAGTTGTTTTTTTTCAAGTGTTTATCACAGTGACAATAGACCAACTAACACAAAACTGGTACTGAGAAATGGGGTCATTGCTGTTATTAACCTGAGAAGTGTTTGGAACTACTTTACAGGAGAAGTTTGGAAAGTTTTGAAGATGAAGGATGAAGAATTCTTAGAATGTTGCAAGTGAAGTTTCATGGACAATTCTGGTGTGAGTTTAGATGATCAAATACTGATAGGAATGTGGACAGTAAAGTCTGTGCTTATGCAGTTTCAGATAGGAGTGGGTGCGCTCCTGGGAAATGGACTTGAGACCACACATATCATATTTTGGCAAAGAATTTGTTGACATTTTGTCAATATTCTGACAGTTTGTTTTTGGTCAAATTAAAGGTGATGAACTAATTAATCTGGCAGAGGAAATTTCAAGGAAGCGCAGCATCTAGGAGTCGTGTGGTAGTCTTTATACAGGTTTACTGATAATCATGATCAAAAAGCAGAGTAGAAAGATTGAAAAACTTTCAGTTTGGCCAGAAAATCAGATGTAAAATTGGGACCAAGGAAGCTGTTGCAGAAGAAACCAGAGCCATTAGAGAAACCAAGTATTTTGCACAGAAACAATATAGGAAAGATAATGCCTTCAGGGCATCTCAGGAGTCATCCAGACCCCACTTGGATCATAGGTATAAAAGTGAAAAACTTGTTTGAAAGACTTTGGTTTGAGAAGAGACCCCAGGGTACTCTCCTCCCCTAGGGGTACCTAGGAAGTTGTTTACTCAGGATTCAGTGCACCATGCTCAGTCATCCAGGCACTCAGATGTCCCTGAAGCTGTGGTCCAAGAGAATCAACAACTGCTCCTGCTGGTGGTAGATCTTGGCTTCATTCATGTGGTTCTTATTTTTGTAGGCTTGAAGAATGTAAGAGTCACTGGGTCATGAAGGCTTCCAGTGAGATTTCAAAGGAAGACCTGGAAGACCAGGCAACGTGCCCCAGGGTCAGAATTCTTGAGGGTAACCTCTGAAAGGGTGATGTATGAGGCAATGAGTGAAGCTGAAGGTGCAATGGAGACACTAGGAATTTAGAGATGTCAGGAATGTGGAATATCTGCCAAAGAAGGATTTAGGCAGTGAGCAGAGCCAGCCCAATAGAGAAGCTATGTGGGCTGTTACTGGAAAGGTTATAGAGGTGAGGTACTCCAGCCCTTTTGAGTCCACATCCTGCCACCATGTATTCCTGATGCCTGACATGGAACTATAGGACTAAATGTTTTGTTTGCTAAATTTTTTGTCTTACTTTGGACCCACCCCTTTTTTCTATGCCCCTGTTCCTCCATTTTGAAATGGGAATGTTTACTCTGTGCTATTGTATGTTGGAAGTATGTAACTCACTTTTTGATTTTTACAGGGTTCATAGCTAAGACTTTGCCTTGAGTTTTAGTGGAGACTTTGGGCTTGGACTTTTGAGACATGCTAGAGCTGCTAAGATTATGGGACTCTTGAAGAGAGACTGAATGCATTTTGCATTGTGAGATGGGCATGACTTTTTGGTGGTCAGGGGCAGAATGATGTTGTTTTGATAGGAAATATTCTCCAACATTTCATGTTTTGAAAGCTTGGTCTTCAATGCAGCAACATTCAGAGGTGGAACTTTTAGCCAATGATAGGATCTAATTTAATCAGTGGATTGATCCATTTGATGAATTAATTATTTGAATGATCTGTAGGGAAGTGGTGGAAACCCTCAACATAGGAGCATGTTTAGAGAATTAGGTCACCTGGGGCAAGCAAGCCCTTGAAGACTATATCTTTGTCTTCCTATTTCTCACTCTGCTTCCTGTTGTCATGAGCTGAGCTTTCTTCTGTCATGCCCTTCCGGGGATGTCTTGCCTCACCTCAGGCCCAAAGCAATGGGTATTGCCAAACATTGATCATAACTTCTGAGACCATGAGCCAAAATAAATCTTTCATCCTGAGAGTTGTTTTTTCTTCTTCTTCTTCTTATATAGTTGTCACAGCAATGAAAAGTTAATTGCCTCAACACTTTTGGTGGCCATGGGACTGATTGTCCACCCCATTCTTTCCATCCTCAAGCAGTGCAATATGAAGAGAGTAATTACTTAGATGAAGAAGAATTATTTACATGTTAAATCATTATATAGGAGACTGGGACTTCTTCCTGCATGGCAATGCCCAGGGTCAGGCAGAATCTCACCTCAGCAGAACTCAGGATGGTGACTATGGCCAGAGTGTATGGACTTACTTTGGCCCAAGGTGAAGGACAGAGATAAATTCCCTTTTTAGGTATTCTTAGAATTCATTCTGAGCAACATATGAACTGTGGATTTGCTATACCTTTGAACTTGGATTTGGTATACCTTCTGTTGCTGAAACAGTAACAATACACCAACTATAGACTCATGGTAAAATTTTACTTAGGGCACCATCTAGTGCTGAAGTAGTAGAAGTGACTATAGGCTCAGAAAATAAACTGTTCAGGATTTCTGGAAGCATAGTAACAAAGCCAGATTACAAAGTCTGGAACAAGTTGCACGGTCTGAAATAGATGTTGCACATCAATAAAAATTAAGAACTTTCAGGGAATCATGAATTCATCTAATAAATATAAGTTGATATTAAGTTGATAGAAATTTATCCTGTAATAACCAACATGTGAAAATTCAAAATAGTTATTTTAAGAAAACTTAGCAAGCTATAAGAAGACTGAGAAATGACTTTATACTTTGTAGTTTCACTGAGAGATTGAAGTAATTAGAAAAAAATCAAACAAATCCTTGAGCTGAAAAGCATATGAAACCAAATGAAAACACAATAAAAATCATCAATAACTAATTAGATCAAAATAAAAAGAATTAGTAGTGAATCCACGAGGGAGAAGAAAAGTAAAAGAGAGGAATCACAATAAATATATAAAACAAGTAACAAGTAACAAGATGTTAAATATGAACATATTAATTTTTGATAATCACCTTAAATGTAAATGAATCAAATTCTCCAAATAAAATATATATATATATAATGGCTTAATGGGTAAAAATAAAAACCTAACTATATGTTGTTTATGAAAAACTCATTCCATCTCTAAGGATAAGCATAGACTGAAAGTGAATTGACAGAAAAAGACATTCCATACAAATGGAATCCAAAAGAAAGCAGGAGTAGTCATACTTATTTCAGATAAAATAGACTTAAAATCAAAAGCAGTAAAAAGAGAGAAGGAAGATCATTATGTGATGATAAATGTGTTAATTTAACAAAAGGGAAAAAATAGTTATAAATATATACTCATCAAATATCAAAGCTCCTGAAAATATAAAACAAAATTTTGTAGACCTAAAGGAAGATCTAGAACACAATAAAATAATATTAGGAGACTTTAACACTCTACTTTCAGCAATGGACAGATTATCCAGACATAAAATCAAAGAGCAGAATTAAACTGCACTCTAGACCAACTGGACTGAGGAGACATCCACTGAACACTCCATCCCAAACTGCACAATATGCATTCTTCTCAACAGTGCATGGAGACTCCTCTAGAATACAGCATACAGTAGCTCACAAAGCAAGTCTCAACAAGTTTTTAAAAAGCAGAATCATCCACAATGCAATAAACCCAGATATTAACAAGAAACTTTGGGAACTATACAAATACTCCTGAACAGCCAATGGATCAAGAAGAAACTTAAAAATTTCTTGATAGAAAGGAAAATGGAAACACCACCTCCCTCAACCTATGCAGTACAATAAGAGGGAAGTGTATAGCCCCGAATGATGTCAAATTAACTATCATTGATGTCTAATTAACTATCTGTGTATGTTTTGAACAAATTTCTCCATCTGTAGGTGTGCGCTACATGAAAATATGCGTTCCCAGTGCTTATATGTACTCACGAGTGTCCACGCACATGTGGAAGTTTGGATAAGCAAGTTTAGTGTAAAGATTTTAAATAATAATTTTGTGTTGCTGTGTGATTCTTTCTAACCTATTATTTGGGGCCTCATATTTTTAAAAAATAAATTAGAAATAGGTGGGCTGGATAAGCAGGTATTTTTTCCATACATTTGAGGTTGATGATTCAGTGTTATTACAGATGCTACACAACTAAATTATGAGTCCCATAGAAGATTTTGCCTTGCCCACAGCCTTCTTGAAAGCACTCTTGACCTCCTTGTTCCTCAGGCTGTAGACCAGTGGGTTGAGCATGGGGATGACCATGGAGTAGAACACAGACGCCATTTTGTCGGTGCCCATGGAGTGACTGGAGCTGGGCTGTAAGTACATGAAGATGCCTGACCCGTAGAAGATGGTGACTGCCGTGAGGTGGGAACCACACGTGGAAAAGGCCTTCTGGCGTCCTTCAGATGAGCGCATCCTCAGGATGGTGACAGATATAAACAGGTAGGAGACTGAGATGACCAGGATGGAAAAGAGGTCATTGAAACCCACCACAAAGAAAATCACCATCTGACAGACATAGGTGTCCGAGCATGAGAGAGCCAGGAGAGGAGGGGCGTCACAGAAAAAGTGATCAACCACATTGGCCCTGCAGAAAGAGAGTCTGAAAATGTTCCCAGTGTGGATGCAGGCATTCAGAAAACCACAGACGTAGGAGCCCACGGTCAGACGAGTACAGGCAGCTGTGGTCATGGTGGTGGTGTAGCGCAGGGGTCTACACACGGCTACATAGCGGTCATAAGCCATGGCGGCCAACAGGAAGCTTTCTGTAATGATAAAGCCAACAAAGAAGAAGAACTGGGTGAGACAAGCATTGTAGGACAAGGTTTTGTCTCTTGTGAGGAGACCCACCATGACCTTGGGAGTGACAGCTGAAGAATACCCAAAGTCCACCAAGGACAGGTTACTGAGGAAAAAGTACATGGGAGTGTGGAGATGGGAGTCCAGCAGGATCAGCGCGGTCATTCCCAGGTTCCCAACCAGGGTGCTGAGGTAGATGAGGAGGAAGAGGATGAAGAGTGGGATCTGCAGTTCTGGGTCATCTGTTAGCCCCACCAGGATGAACTCAGTCACCTCTGTAGTGTTCTCCATTGGGCCTCATGAGGCTGCCCTGTAGCAGTGAGAGAGGAGAGTCAGAATGACCAAGGAAAGCAGGACTGTGCTGAGCTCCCTCAGCAGGTCCCCTCTGTGCCTGATTTCAGAATTTCAACAACTGGTTCCCAGGAGTCCTGGTCTGAAGCTTGCCATGACAACGGAAGGCAGCTGTCCATTAACAGCTGATCGCACAGTGTCCTTCATGAAAGGATTTTGTGGATGATATATTGCCGTTTCTTAGCTTCATGGATGACTGCACTAAGTAAGGTACCAGAAAGAAAAGACTTTTCTAAGATCATCAGATGACTGGAAATGGTCCAACTCTTTATGCAAAGTTTCCAAAATAAATTCAAATTATTTGTTTCACTGAAGTATAATAACTATTTTCTCAGTCTATTCAGGCTGATTTAACAAAATACCATAAAGTAGAGAGCTTCTATTTGTTTTCCTGCTTCTTTATTTTGTTTTTCTTTGTTTGTGGTTCTGGACATCACACCAGGGACTAATACATGCTAGGCAAATTCTCCACCACTATGGTGACTTTTCTCTTTGTCCTCATATGGAGGAGGAGGATAGCTAGCTCTCGGAGGTCTCTTAACGAGGGATCGCCAATCTCAATCACAAAAGCTCTCCGATCCAATCATAAGAGTTCTTCTCTCAGTACTTAATCTAAGGATCCCACATTGAGATATCATTAGCTTGGGGGTTAGCTGTTCAACATATGAATTTTGGCATTTAGTAATAGTACTTTGGCACTTTGTAAAATTAATGTGATTTCACTCTGACTTACTTTTTTTTTTCAGTAGAGCATTTTATGAGCCTGAAAGATAGTTAAGTGAACATCCTTCACCTAGAATAATCTCATGGTATAGTATGGGACATAGGATATGTAATTTATGTCCAGGAATAATGACATTTATAAAATAAAGAGTTATTAACTTTGTCCCTTTAAGCAGTTTTTAACATTCACATGCAGATATTCTTGATCTTGAGCCTTACACATAGCTCCAGATCTGGAACATAGAAGTTGGGATTAACTGTGAATTAAGCTCTTGTAGATAAGACATACTGAGCATTTGCTATGTTCTTATCACCAAATAGAGGCTGTAACACTATACCTCACATAACCTTCATCATCATGTGCAATATTATTTCCATTCCATGGATGCTGAAGCTGAAATTGACTGACATTTAGTTACATGCTAAGTGCTGAAGGAAATAGCGGAGGTGAGATTTGAAGCCAAGTTACTCTGATCTAAATCCTTATCTCTTTATAATGAAGGAATATTCTTACTTTTTTTTACTTTTAATATGAATTTGGCATAAGGTATATCTTTTTCAGTTGATTGATTAACTGATTAAGTGATTAAATCTATCATGGATGTTAATGGGAATAATTGAAAAGATGAACTTAGTGATATAAAATACATTCACCGGTTTGGGTAATTTTGTTTAAAGAACTTGTCTTTCAGGATCTCAGTTGAATGCCAACAACTATATCTACAAATGCTTATACTCCACCCTCCATAGCTCCCCAAATCTTTGAATAGTTAAACGATGATATGGCTTTTTTAGAAGCAGCCAATAAGCAGCATCAAGAGCTGGCTGCAATCCGCCCTTCACTCTTTTTACTCTCACTGAGTCTCCATGGTGAACTAGATGTTTTGCTTTTTTTCTGCGTCTCAGATGATGCACATGATGCTTTTCCTGACCTCGAAGTGCTTCACAGACTGCAGCATGTGCAGAGTCAATACCACGTGTGGCTCTCGTTCTCCATTCTGAGAAAAGAGCACTGCTTCTCATTTGCACACAACCCTGTGGTGAAGGTTGATCTATTTACTCGGTAGCACATCATGTGATAATTAATCAGCATCAGATAAACTTCCACCATCAGATAGGTCTTTAGTGGCGGAACTAAAATATGTGTTTAGATTGTATCATAATTAGCATGTCTTGTGTAATTTTACAGCTCTCTATTTCATTTACATTTTGTAACTGGTGCCCAAACTTGATTTATTTCCTCATTTATTAATATCCATTCCTTCTCTTAACAAATATTATGGTCTTCCAGATTACAATAGCATTTTACATTGATACCCCATTTGATTCTCTCAGCAAGCCTGGAATATTAAGATAACTAGTATTATCACATTTCCTGAAAAAGAAAACTGGGTTTGAAACAGTTTAAATAACTGGTTTAAAATTGTACAAGTTCATACACTCAAAGCAGGAATTCAAGACCCATTTGTACTTTTCTTTGTCACTTGATACATATTTTCCAACAGGATCTCAACAGTGTTTGGCCGCCCAACCTCTGATTGTATGATATGGAATGTCAGAACTATTTGAAGCATTCCGACCTAAACTCTGAATAAGCCCAGGGAGAAACGGGTGCCTTCCTACCCTTGCCTGGTTACTTCTGCCCCTGCAGCTCTGTGCAGACAGCACATCTGACCTTGAAGCTTACCTTGCTTCCCTGAGCAACACAACCTTTAAATCCAGCACTCCTATTCAGGTCAGGTCTCACGTCCCGAATTCAGTGCTTCAAAGAAGGAAATACCCCATCTGGAGGAAGATTCTTTTTTAGTGTTTAGCAGAAAGGTTTAACATTCTCCAGGGATGGGAGAAATGAAAGGAAAAACAAGGCGGTTGGCCTTGGAATTAGCTAGTATAAGTTCTAGTTCTGGATCAGTGGCTCTCTCTTCTTAGATAAGTCACCTAGTCCCTTTGGACATCAATAGCTTCATCTATAAAAAAGAAGTCATGGAAAGGAGCTTGCCCCGACCACATGTCCCCTGAAGGGCTGCTGCAGTGCTGAGGAAAGAGTCTTTGCAATGTCTCCTACCTGGTGAGGGGTGATTACCATGATCACCGTTAACACTACCCTTCCTCCCCTGGACACTGCTAAAGGCTCTGAGTAATAAGTTGTCTGGGGGTGGGTGGTGGTCATTGTTGGTTCTAGACAACGACTAACCAACTAGGTGAATAATGAATGGTCGAAGAGGTTCATGTTCTTGGACGACTCCCTCCCAAATGAGGCATGCGAGGTTTGAAATGTTAAAAAGTGGTAGCCAGGAGGGAGTTAACCAGTCATGGCGCTCTCCTGGGACAAACACCCCAAAAGGACCAAAACAAGCTCTCATCTCACAGGACCAGGGGATAGGCAATTAAGGGCTTTATGGGATTCAACTTTGCTTGTTGAGGGAGATCCTGGAATTATTTTTCCTAAGTAATTAGTTTTGATGATTTACAAATCAATCTAAGGCATTATCTGTAAGATTATAATTGGATTTAAACATTGGAAGATAGAAACACAGGCGTGTCCCATAAATTGGTGCTTCTCTTAATTCACAGCCATTTCTCCCTGGGCTTATTCACAGTTTAGAATGGAATGCTTTGAATATTTCTTATATTCCATATCATACAATCAGAGGTTGGGTGGCCAAACACTATCAAGATCCTGTTGGAATATATGTTATCAAGTGACAAAGAAAAGTACAACTCCTTGAACTGTTTAGAAAAAAATATCAATTCATTCAACTGTTTATTGAGCTTAAATGGGTTTCACCTAAAGTGCTGAGCCTTGGGAATATAAACCCACCCAAAATATCAATGTAAAGGTAACTACACTGCCGTGTATGTTGCAGAATCTGGGCAGGGTCATTGCCAGATTTTTTTTTTTTTAATTCAAACTCTACTGACCCATTTCTTTTTGTTCTGAAGTTGAGGAAGATATAAACTTAAAAGTTATGGGATTCAAAGACTGTACAAATGAGCAGAGGGCAGCTATAAATTTTCTCAAAACAAGGATTTCTGCAAAGAGATCAGAAAAAAATAATACTGGGAAGATGTTACATATTTATAGTTTCATCACTGACTAAAAATACTTTCTTACATCCAAAAAAAAAAAAAAAAGCATTGTTCTTGTACTCCTGTTGCTTAAGTCTGATGAAGAAAATAGACACTAAACAAGAAAGCATGCTGAGAAGCACATAATTACAGGGAGAGAAAAATATAGGCATTATATATAAAATAAGCAAATAATTATGTATGGAAAAATGAGAGAGAAAGGAATGCGACTTTGTAGTAGTTAAGTAGAATGTTTTCTCAGGAAAGCTAACATGTCACCCAGGCCCCAAAGTGATGAAGAACCAGCCTGGGAATGCTTGTTTCAAGGAAAATGAAAAGTATATAATAAAGGCCCCGAGTTTCAAGGAAGTGGCAGTGATACGATGAATTTTTGTTCCATTTTTTTTTTTTTCATTTTGTCTCGGTTTTGTTTTGCATTATCTTAGTGAGCCGTATCTTCGTCACGGAAATGTGGGATTAAAAATTAGTAAGAACCAAACCGAAAGGGCATTAAGTAAATTGCTAAAGGAAGGAGGCATCTCAGTAACATCAAGAACAGTTAGGGCATACGTTAAGACGATACAAAAATGTAGCCCATGGTTCATTAAAGAGGGGTTGTTAAATATAGCACAATGGAACTTCACTCGCAATAAAGTAGTTCCCCGCTTCAACCTTCAAGTTGCTTGTCACCTCTGGGTTATTTTGCCCAGCCGGACTGCGGCATGGCAGAATCTAAAATCAGCCATGCAGCATAGGTAATAAGATCTTCTTTTGCAGTTTTTATTTCAGTATCACCCTAGAGCAAAACCTGTAGGCAAAGAAAATCAGACCAATCATCACCAATACCAAAGCTTCATCAGAGTCCTGGTTGGGATCCAGGACCAGAAGCAGTGGACCCTGGGATTCACTCTTGACTTCATTTTGAAGACCATTTGTTCCTACTAATATGGGAACCTGTGTATGCATCCAATCCAAAATGAATTTCTTACAGTTTATGAGTTTAAAAGGCTATAATGGTATGAGTATTTCTTACAATTAGCCAGTGCTCTAGAAAAATTGGCTTCTACTCTGTTGAGGTGTAATTGAGTGACATTCACCCTCACCAGAGTATTCCATCTATTTAATTCTCATTCCTTATTCCACTTGATGAATGTGGGGTCTCTTGTCTTAGTAGGAATACCTCCCGTTCTTATTACTGCTCGTGGCTTGAAACTTTTCTCTAGGTCATGGTGTGGTAGATAGTGCAGAGTCCAGAATCTAGAATGTGGTGGTTGTGTGGTGGATAGTGCAGAGAGGTACATCTGAGTTCAAGTGCTAATTTTCTCAAGTCTGTACCTGTGAAACCTTTGGAAAACATTTGTGATACAGCTGGCATAATAGTATTGTCTACATCATACTGTAATAATATAATATGGTATAGTTGGGAAGATTAGATTAAATGAGACTTTATATATGTATATACATATATATATTTGTATACTAGTATTATGAGACAATTATTTGGGTTTACCTTAGAACATTTATATTTGTTGAATAAAAAGAAGGTAGGGATAGCCTGGAGCAGTCATCTTAGCTGTTGATAAGTAGCGAGGACACTATTGGGACTTGTAACTGTTAGAAAGAAATAGCTCATACTGGGCTATAATTCATCACATTTCTGATTCATCTTCCTAGCAGTTATATGGCATCCCATGTGCTCTGTTCCAGTTAAGGTAATGATTGGGTTCTGTTATTCCACATTCACTTTCCTCTTTTTGGACTTTGGGATGTAATCTTAGCTCTCTGATGGGTCCATTTTATAAACAAAGGAACTGTCTTCTAGATACAGATTCAGGCAGTCATGTTGCCGAGGGACAACACTATCTATATAACTTTATCAAGAGCACGTAACTTGGGGCTGAGGTTGTGGCTCAGTGGTAGAGCACTTGCCTAGCATGGTGCTAAGGATTGAACCCTAGCATGGGTTCAATCCTTAGCACCACATAAAGAATAAATAATAAGTAAAGAGATTGTGTCCACCTACAACTAAAAAATACTTTAAAAAGAACACATAACTCCAAGTAATATAAATGTACTAGGAGCTATGTCAACTCATGGAACCATGATTACTCACACAGTTTAATTGCTGCTTCTCTTGGTGACTGGAGTGGGAAAATGATCGCTCCCAGGGGAACCTGCTCCCCATTTGACTTTAAGATGTATAAATCCCACTGAATACCAGGAGTTGGTCTCTAATATCCTAACATGACTCTATTTAACATAATTGAAGAGGGACCCGTCCGTGTGCCAAAGGCCTTTTGGAGTTCATTTATTGATCTTAATATAAAAGTCTTAATATTAAAGTCACTAGGTGACTTTCCTTCACACAGATGTATCCCTATGAGCCTGCACAGTGTCCAGCTCAAAAAAAATATCCCCAGTTAAAAATGTTTGTGTTCAGCATAATAATCTCTTCTTAGAGTTGCTCATCACTTTACAAAGTGAATATGGAGACTGCCATTTGTCCTTACAGCAGTCCTGTGTGACCAGTTGAAGAATATTTTATATCTGCACCTACTTCTTATATCTCTCTGCCTCTAGAGCACTCCAGTCTTTGCAACTAGATGTTAATAAATAACTTTCTCAACAGGAGCTTTGTTTCTTTGGTGGTACCTGCAATTTGAAGACCCCAGGTGAAGTTGGGACATCTTCCTTGAAGAGAAAGGTAAGTTTCTAGCTCAGTCTTTTGTGGTGATCTGTTCAGATTATGGTAACAGAAAATGGGCTGTGTAAAGGTTCAGAGCAGCCATTTTCCAATGGAGTATTTAGAGTTTAGTATCCTAAGTATTAATATTTCATACTTTCATGTTGTTTAGTTAGAGTGCATCACAACAATCTCCATCAGTAAAAAAATGATGATTTATTACAACAGTAGAAGATGATATTATTCTCATTATTTAAAAATTCTTTTACATAGGGAAGTACTTAGCAAGTGGTGGGAACTCAGTAAATGTTTATTGATACAATGAACAAACAAATGGATGAATGAATGAATGCAAATAATCAATGAATGAATAGTGCCCTATTTATTGAGTATAAATTGTGAAATATATAACCCTGTGCTACTAAATCTAGTCTCATGCTTAACTTTATACAGGATATTTATAGGCTTTTCATCAAAAGTTTTAGACTTTTTTGATTAAGGCTTTCACAAAAAGAGATATGATTTACATTGCAACCCACCACTCACATGTGTACACATGTACACACACACACACACACACACACACACACACACACACACCAAAAACAAAACTTTTGTGGAGCCCAGCTTACCCTTTGACTTGAAACTCATCTTTACTGTTTTCTTTTTTATCTTAAATTAGTTAACACAAGTTATGTGTGAATACTATCTGCTACATATGTCAGGAATCATTACTAATCACAGCAGTGGTATGTAACTCAATTTTATTTTTTGAAAAACATGATGGATTTTCCCACTGTATGATTTCACCATTCACTGATGGATCCTGACCTGCTGTTTGTGAAACACTGTGTTTGAACAATCTGTCAGTTTTAATTCTCAAAAACTTACCCCAAACAAGTTAGTGTAAAGTATACTTACCAATATTTTTGATAAATATAACAACTTATATTAATAATCTACTTTGTAATAAAAAGGTGTTTGAGGAATATTCTTCGAGGCTATTTTCCAATAAATTTAAACATATCTCTCTTCTGGTTTCAATATTTTCATTGCTTGTAGTCTCAGAAGAATTTTAAGAAAGCTATTGACATTAATTTATTGAACACATGTGGAATATATTGAAAAAATTATGTTAATGAAGAATATATTCTTATAAAAATATCAATGAAATGCATATTAATTCTGTTCCCCTTGTATTTTTCATCTAGAGTCTTAGAGAAATTATCATTGAAGGTGCTAGTTTCATAATGAGGATTGCTTTTTACAGAGTTGCTTTTGTAGAGCAATAAGAACCATTTATTCTCTGATTCATTCATCCAACAACCGTTTACTGATAGTTGGATATGTGCTGTACATTGTGGTAGGCAATGTATACAAAGGTAAATCTGCTAAGGCTTCTCTAAGTTTCAATTTGGTAGGCAGTATATATGCAAATATATAACAATTTTTTCCCCAACTGGTAAAGTAGCTACATCTTCATTTTGCAGAGGGAGGAAAATGATCTTCAGAGAACTGAGAACTCATGTTCTAATTATTAAGTGAAAAGGCTAAACTCTGAACCTAAGTGTATAGCCCTTGGGTTTTGTCAAGTTTTTTTTTGCTACCTCAAATTGACTTACAGTTATGGAATTATTTAGTCATCAGTCTCCTTAATTATTGTGTATTATATTGTGTGCTCAACTGTATAAAGGGAACATTAGGTCATGCAGAAATAAAATTTAAAACAGCATAAATAATTCAGGCATTAAGACTCGAATCTAGATTGATAGGGATTTGAATCGACATGACTTAGGACAGTGTCTGGCAGGCAGGGCCATGTTGTTGATATTATTGTTAGAGTGAAAAAGACATGGTCTCTGGCTGTATTTACTACCTATTTGGAAGGACACCCCTTCAATATTCTTCAGTATTGACTCCTTCCCCTCTACCTTCTCTCAGCTTCTATATCTGCTTCTCAACTCAGGTTTCACTTTCAGCTTTCCTAGTGACTCAATTGGGTCTCTCTACAGGTGTGACCTAAATGGCAGTATGGCCTGGACTGATTACCCTGGAGGTGGTAACCAGTGAATGGATTTAGGGCATATATTGAAGGTGAGTTTTTAATAGACTGTGCTCATGAATTACATGTGGTGTGTGAGGGAAAGAGAGTTAAAGATCAGAATTATCAAGTGATTGTTGAAGATTTTATTAAGTCTGACCAATATTTAACATAGATTTTGAAAATTGAGGGCATGATTTCATAATTGAGGTTGTATAATTGAATGAAATAATTGGCACAACCTCCAACAGATCCCCTGCAGAAACCATGCAAAGATGGCTTCTCAAAACTTGTAGCTGTTATTATTCCTGAAGCTCATTCCCAAATTTTCTGTTGCTATTATTTGCAAAAGTGGCATGTTTGCGTAAACAAATTTGAAATTAATTTCTGAAGCTATCCAGATGAGCCCCTTTAGAGATGTGGTTCCAATCATTCTGTTGGGTTCCTTTTTTGTTATTGTCATTTGTTTTTCCCTTCAGTGATTAGATGTCTTGCTAATATCACTGATAACAGTAACATTTATTTAACAATAACAATACCTCTAACTTATTGTGTGACTAGTGTTGTAAGGGATTTAAACATGTTGACTCTTCCCATTCTCTAAATAGACTTTTGAGGTACTATTATCATAGGTGTTTTTTAAAAAAATTTATGTTTTTATTACTGTATTTTAGTTTTATATAATTGTGGGGTTCATTGAGACATATTCATAAAGGTATTTAACATAATTTTCTCCATTTTAATCACTGGTACTACCACCTCCCGTCCCCCCCTTCTTTCCCTGATCTCCTTCCTTGACTCTATTGGTCTCCCTTCTGTTAGTTTATTTTATAATTGATGTGTTATAACTATACATAAAGGTAGAATTCATTGTGATGCATAGCATAATTTGGCCAATTTCATTCAGCAGCTCCTCCCCTTTCCCATCCCTCCTCTGTCTCCCTTGATCCTTTTCCTCTATTCCACTGTTCTCCCCCTTTTCCCCATGAGAGTCCCCTTTTGAAAGTTTTAATTAGTGCATTATAGTTATACGTAACAGCGGGGTTCATTTTCACATACTCCTTACATGCACAGAATATAATTTGCTCCACTTAAGTCCCTAGAATTTCCTCTTTCCCTCCCCTTCTTTCCCCCCTGTTCCCCTTCCTCTTCTGGTCTTCTATTGATTGCCTTTTAAAGAAAATTTGTATTTTATAGATGTACATAAAGGTGAAATTCTCTGTGGGATATTTACATGTACGCACAGCGAACTTTGGTCAATTTCATTTGATGGTTCCTCCCTTTTTCCTATCCCTCCTCTTTGCCCTTCAATCCCCTTCCATTTTCATGTGATTTCCTACCTGTTTTTCCTGTTTATTTTTCTGTAGCTTCTGCCTAAGAGGAATACCTTCAACCTTTGATTTTCTGAGTCTGGCTTATTTCAGTTGGCATGATGTTCTCCACTTCCATGCATTTACCAGCACTGTAATTTATTCTATAAGGATGAGTAAAACTCCTTTGTTTCTTTATCCACTCATCTGCTGAAATGCACCTGGTATTGATTCCATAACTTGGCTACAGTGAATTTTGCTGCAATAAATACTGATGTTTCTGTATTACTATAGTATGCTGATTTTTACTTCTTTTGCATAAATACCAAGAAGTGGAATAGCTGGATTAAATGGTGATTCCATTCCTAGTTTTTTTTGAGGAATTTTTTTTTATATATAAAAATAGTGGGGCTGGGGATGTGGCTCAAGTGGTAGCGCGCTTGCCTGGCATGTGTGCGGCCCGGGTTCGATCCTCAGCACCACATACCAACAAAGATGTTGTGTCCGCCGAGAACTAAAAAATAAATATTAAAAAATTCTCTCTCTCACTCTCTCTTAAAAAAAAAATAGTGTACTTGTTCCCCACATCCTCACCAGTGTTTATCATTATTTGTATTCTTGATGATTGCCATTGTAACTGGAGTGAGATGAAATATCATTCTAATTTTGATTTGCATTTCCCTGATTGTCAAGGATGTTGAATGCTTTTTAATTTACTTTTTGGCCATTTGTTTTTCTTCTTTTGGGAAATGTCTGTTCCATTCTTTTACCCATTTATTGATAGGATTATTTGTTTTTCAGTGTTAAGTTCTCTGAGCTCTTTGTATATTCTAGATATTAACCCCCTTTCAGAGGAGTTTCTGGCAAAGATTTCTTCCTATCCTGTGGGCTCTCTTTCCATGCTCTTGTTTCCTTTGCTGCTAAGAAGGTTTTTAATTTGGAGCCACCCCACTTACTGATTCTTGATTTTGTTTTTTGAGTGTTAGGAGTCTTATTCAGGAAGTTGGTGTCTGCACCGATATGTTGGACTGTTGAGTTTTTTTTATATTGTAGGAGTTGCAAAGTTTCTAGGTCCTTGGTCCACTATGAATTGATTTTTGTGCAGGACAAGAGATGAGGATCTAGTTTCATGCTTTCATATAAGAATATCCAGTTTTCCCTGCACCATTTGTTGAAAAGGCATACACTTTTTCCAATGTATGTTTTTGTTACTTTTGTCAAGAATCAGGTAACTATATTTATGTGAATTTATCTCTATGTTTTCTATTCTATTCCATGGGTCTTCATGTCTGTTTTGATGCCAATACCATGCTGCTTTTGTTACTATAGCTTTGTAGTATAATTTTCCCTAAAAATTTTTAATACTGTATTTCTAGTTCTTTAAAGAATGTCACTGGTATTTTTATGGGGATCACATAGAATCTGTGCATCAATTTTGGTAACGTTACCAATTTGACAATATTAATTCTACCTATCCAAGAACATGAGAGAGATTTCTATTTTCTGAGGTCTTCTTCAGTTTCCTTCTCCAGAGTTCTATAATTTTCATTGTAGGGCTTTCACATCCTTGCTTAGATTTATCTCCTAAAATATATTAATAATAAAGTGGACCTCCCAGTCATCTACAGAGTATTTCATTCATCAACAATCAAATTCATTTTCTATCAACTTCCCATAGAACATTTTCCATATAGACCATATTTTAGGACATAAAGTAAGTCTTAACAAATACAAAAAACTGAAATAATTCCTTGTATCTTACCATAATACAATGGTATGAAATTGGAAAACTAATAAAAAGATAAAAAACAAAAAACATTTAACAAATGAACATTGAATAATATGCTTTTGAATAATGAATGGGTGATGGAAGAAAACAGGGCAGAAATGAAAAATTTTTAGAAACAATTAAAACAAAGATACATATCAAAATCGCTGAGACTTTATGAAGGCAGTTCTAAGAGCAAAATTTATAGCATTGAGTGCTTACATTAAAAAAAAAAAAAAGAACCAAAAAGATCCCCAATCGATAATCTAATGTTCTAACTCAAGACCTAGAAAAGCAAGAGCAAACTAATTCCAGAACAGGAAATAATAATTAAGATGAGAGCCAAAAATTAAAGAAGAGAAGGAAATTAAAGTTATAAATAGAAAAAGACGAATTAAACTTATCTGTTTTTTGATGACATGATCTAATACTTGGATGGCTCAAAAATCTCCACCAGAAAGCTTCTAGAGCTGATCAACAAATTCAGCAAATTAGCAGTATGTAAGATTGATATATAAAATCAATAGGTTTCCTTTCTCTAATAAGGAACCTTCTCAGAAAGAAATTAAAAGAACAATTCCATTCACAATAACCTCAAAAAACCACTTGGGAATAAATTCTCCCTGTTTTAAACTGTGGCACAGAAACATCGTGACCTGTCCAAGGTTACCCAACCAGTACGTGGAAATGTCAGGATTTCAATGTAGACAGGTCATGACCAGAGATGATTTATTTTCTTTACCACTACAATATCCGACTCCTCTAAATACGTGTATTGTTTCAAAACACCTTTTAAAACTGCTATAACAATCTTGAGACACAGTAAAAATAGGGAACACAATGATTATTTTATTTTATTTTTTTCAGATGAATACACTTTAAAATAAATAAAATAATTTGGGAGATGAATAAACCCAGACATGGTTATGTTCTTGTCCAGGGGTATAAATAAGGATGAGCATCTTCCTGGATTCTGTGCTTCTTCCCCCAAGCAGGATTCAAGGAGAACAGTGCTCTGAGGAGTGAAAGGGAACTAACTTTTCTTAGACTCCACATCAATCATAGCTGGGTGAATGATAGCCTCATTCTTCACTGTACTTCACAACCAAGAAGGCAACAGTGTATCACTGTTATCAGACAATCATCTGACAGGAGGTCCAGAAGGACTAAATGAGATAATACTTACTCTTTTCAGACTACCTGGCACGTAGTGTTCAGTTAATATAAATGTTATCTGAATCTGGATTGACAGTGGTAAAGAGTGATTTACAGAGGACGGACAAGCTTTCAACCCAAATGAAAATAATAAGTATTTGAAGACAGACATTTTGTCTGAGTTGGGTCTGGAACTCGCAGACATAGTCCAAGCTTCTACAGACTGTCAGACAGAGGTCAGAAGATGCCAGTTTCAGGTTATTGGGATCCTGGCATGCTCATGTCATTGGGGTGGCATTAGAGTACATGAATCATTTCCTGTGCATAAGTAATTTATCCATTTTGCCTTTTTTTTTTTAAACCGGTGAAGCACAATTTCAAGATGTCATACCTGGAGAACAGTACTCAGGTGAATGAGTTCACACTCTTGGGATTGACCCACACCCCAGAGCTGCAAGTTCCCCTCTTCCTAATGTTCACCCTCATCTATCTCATCACTCTCACTGGGAACCTGGGGATGATCACGTTGATCCTGCTGGACTCCCGTCTCCACACCCCCATGTACTTTTTCCTCAGTCACCTCTCCCTGGTGGACTGCGTTTACTCCTCGGCCGTGACCCCCAAGGTGATGGCTGGGCTTCTCACAGGCGATAAAGTGATCTCCTACAGCGGATGTGCTGCTCAAATGTTCTTCTTTGTGGCTTTTGCCAGCGTGGACTGCCTCCTGCTGGCTGTGATGGCCTATGACCGTCATGCAGCGGTCTGCACACCCTTGCATTACACCACCACCATGACCACCAGTGTGTGTGTCCACATGGCTGTGGCCTGCTACCTCTGGGGCTTGGTCGAATCTGCCTCCTACACCGGGTTCACCTTCTCCCTCTCCTTCTGCCGTTCCAATGTGGTCCATCACTTTTTCTGTGATATCCTCCCAATCCTTGCCCTCTCCTGCTCTGATACCTACATAAATGAGACTGTGCTGTACATCTTGACAGCCTTCAATGTCTTTTTTGCCCTGGTGGTTATCCTGACCTCCTATCTGTTCATATTCATTGCCGTCCTGAGGATGCGCTCAGCAGAAGGGCAGAAGAAAGCCTTCTCCACCTGTGCGTCTCACCTCACCGCCGTGACCATCTTCTACGGAACCATCATCTTCATGTACTTACAGCCCAGCTCTAGCCATGCCATGGACAATGACCAAATGGCCTCTGTCTTCTATACAATGATAGTTCCCATGTTGAACCCAATCGTCTACAGTTTAAGGAACAAAGAGGTTCATAGGGCTTTCAAGAAAGCCATGGAGAAGATGATGACTCTTTTGCGCACATGATTTTAACTAAGGAGGTCATGCAATCTGTATAGCTCATCAGTTATCTACTGTTGTGTAACAAAGTGCTCCCAAATTTAGTGGCTTAAAACAATGGCTTATTATTTTTCATGATTCCATGAACAGGGCAGTTTCTTTTCACAGGCTTGCTCATGAGGTTGTGTATGTTCTAGAAGGCCAGCTGAGTTGGAAGGTGCAGGAGGGTCTTTTACACATTTCTGGGCACTGATGCTGGCTACTTGCTAGGTCACCTTAGTTCATGTCTACACCATCTTTTATCTTTCAGAGGCTGGATATACTTTTTTATATGACATCTTCGGGCCAATATTTAAATAGTATGAAGGTAAAACTCAAAGACTTGTTGAAGCCCAAATTCAAAAACTCATACATTTCTTTAGCACACTATAGTGGTCGACGTGAGTCAAAAGTTTGACCCAGATTTGAGTAGGAAGAAAGAGACATCACCTCTTCAGGAAAGGAGATTCAAAGACTTTGTGGCTACAGAGTTAATCCAGCACAGTCAGAAATTAGGTAAACCGTGGTAACAAAAATACAGTGACATAAATCACAAATTATTTCTCAAGTGGCAGTAGCTGATGTAGCAGGGTAAAATGAACTCTCTAGATGGCTATGACCTCTTCGCCATGTTTGGATGGAGAACTGAATAGAGTATTGAAATCTTTCTTCTTCATAAACACTCTACCTGGAGGAAAGCAGAAAGAGAAAAGATGAGAGAAAAGCAATGTTTTCTCTTTCAAGTGATGCAGTAGCTTTCATGACTTCTGAGCACATTCTATCGTCAAGAATTCATTTATTTGGATGCAACCAGTTGCAAGGCTGACTGCCTTGCTGAAATGTCAATACTCTGGAAGAAAAAGAGGATGAGTTTTTGGACACAACTAGTCATCTTCCGAATGATTTGTTCCTGAATCTGAACTAGCATGTGTTTCCCTCCTCCTGGAACTTTTTTCCCTAGACCTTGCATTGCTTCTCCAAATAACTTTTTCTTGACCCTTCCATCTAAGATGCTCTCCTAAGTAATCCCTCACCCTCCTCTTTGTCACAAAATTTAAACAGATCTCTGAAATTATATTTCATATTGGCTCAAACACTTAATTTCTATGTCTTGTGAGTCATGTGTAACCATGCATAAATAACCTGGTTGTCAGTGTGTTTGAAAAGCAGAGATTATATAATTTGCTGATGTATTAGCTACAAGTGTGGAAAAATAGTAGTTCAGTTGCCTCAACAATTAGAAAGCCACATGACCACTATGTGAGATGTGAGATCGTGATAGTAGAAGGTTTGCTTTGGGAGGAGGACGTGAGTCTCCTTTGGGTGCTTTCTTATCTTGAAGTGTCTCGTGGATACTACAGGGGAAGTTTAAAACTGCAATGAAGAAATAAATTTGGGAGTTATTAGCACGTAGGTGGTATTTAGTATCACAAGAATGAGTGCTATCCATGAGGGGACACAGGCAGAGAGGTGGCTCAAGGGCTGAGACCTGAAGAGCTTTCTCAGAAAGATGAGGTGGTCTTAAACTTCTATTAAAGAAGAACACTTCAAGCATCACTATTTTGGTAGAGTCATACGGAAAGGAGAACTACAAAAATTTAGGGTGTTGCCTTCAAACTCAGGTGTTACCAACCACCAGACTCAGAATTTTTGAAGGAGCTAGGAACTTCAAGTACAGCAAATTTAAATCTGGAAGGAACATTCAGGATCATCCAATTTGACATTTCACTCCTATAAATGAGAAAAATGTGTGCCCACTGGCCACTGGCTGATTACCTGGGGCTCTTTGAGCTCTAATAGACATACCATGTACACCTCCCAATTTCCCATGGGTGTCCATCCATTATTTTTTTTCTATAAAAATGTCTACTCTGGCATCTCATGTGTCCCAATAGACTTCTAAATGATATTGTCTTCACTTACCCAGCGATATTGAGGAATTTGCTTATGGTCATACAACTCTCCAGTGGAAATTTATGAGTAGAACCCAAGTAGCTGGACTGGCTCTTACAATTCCATCTTTGTTGATATATTATTGAGTCAAATGGAGGCAATAAGCCTGTCCATTCTCCATTCATTCATCGTGAACCCTAAAATGCATCCAATTACACTGGTCCCCACTTATCCATGGTTTTGTTTTCTATAGTAAGTAGCCTGCAGTCAATCCTAGTTTGAAAATACTGAATGGAAAATTATAGAAGTCAAAGCAATCCATAGTTTTTATTGTATGCCATCCTGAATAGCATGACAAAATTGCATGTTGTCTTGTTCTGTCTCCCTAAAGACATGGATCATCTGTTTGTCCAGCTTAATCATTCTGTATACACTACCTGTTCACTAGTCACTCAGTGGTCTTTGTGGTTTTCAGATCAACTGTTATAGTATGATGTGCTTGTTCATGTAACCCTTTGTTAATCTAATAATGACCTGAAATACAAGAGTAGTGATGGTGAGAAATTTATTATAGTGTATTGTTATAATCAATCATTTTTTATTACTTACTATTGTTAATCTCTCACTGTGCCCAATTTCTAAATTAAACTTTATGAAAATATGCATGTGTAGGAAAAACATAGTATGTATAGAGTTCAGTGGCATCTGTAGTTACCCTTTTATAGTCTTTTAAAATAGAATATTAAATTTTCTCTTCTTTACATTTACCACCATACCCACCTTGAGCATATATAGCGTGTGTGTGTGCACACAGACACACATACATACACACACACACACACACACATACAATCTATGACTTAAAATAGGGTTACATTCTGATAAACCTGAGTCAAAAATAGCCTAAGTTGAAAATTTACTTAATACCCTAGTAAACCCATCAGATATCACAAAAATCGAAAATTGAATCATTGTTAAACCAGGGACCATCTGTGTTTGCATGTGTCTATTTGTCTCTGTAACATAAGCTTAAAGATGGTACAGATCTTCAACTATTTTCCATTCATAAATTCTAGATGAGGGGCTGGCCTATAGAAGACACTTAATGAATGCATACATCTAATGAATTAAATAGATTGGCCAGATTTCTCTGCTAAGGACAAGATTCTATTTAGGTATTTATTTAGAGATAGTCTTGCTATGTTGCCTAGGCTGACCTTAAACTCCTGGGCCCAAGTAATCCTCCTTACTAAGTCTCCTGAGTAGTTGGCACTACACAGGCATTCCACCATACCCAACATGGACCAGACTCTTAGTGATGTCTCCTTTGATATCACCACTTTGTTATTTCAAAGGCATCTCAAATACACCAGTTCAAAAGAACTCTCATTGTTTGTCCTCTTAGCCTATTTCTCCCGAGTCATTACTGTAAAAATGACTCAGTAGATGGCAGCAACACTAACCCAATGATACTGAATTATTCTTGAGTGCTTCCTTTTCCATACTTACTGCATTCTGTCCATCAGCATTGCTAGATATGGAAAATGACAAACCCCAAAATATATGGCCCAGGGAGAAAGAAAGAGGGAGAAAGCAATACATGAATCCTTTCCCAATACATTCTTTCCCAGTGACAAGGCAGGCTCTGGGAAGGAGATATCCATCAAGTCTGAAATGGCAGTTTCTGTGAAGAGGTCAAAGCATTGATCCCACCCTAAACAAATTCTTTCCCCTCTGCTGACCACTGCCCCCTCTCACATCATCCATCTGGCCTAGTAAAGGTTAATCCCAGATACTGACCACTGACCCCACACCCATTGACCTAACACCCTCCATCTGGCTCAAACGGACATGCTCATTCCTGGAGACACCTCTCAGTGTGACCTATACAAACCTGAACTCCCCCTTTCTCCAGTGGCTCATTTTCCACCAGGAAAGTAGGTCTATCAGAGGCGCCACTGGGTTCCTGAACAAAAGCTGTGCTGATCCGTGAAGTCTGCATCCGGCCTGGTCCTTTTGTGCTAACAAGCATATTCTTTATATTGTGCCTGCATGGATTCACCTGTCATTAGTGTGTCCTTGTTCTTCATTTTTCAGTGCTGAGCCCCACCACTGTCCCATCACCTGCATCTCTACCATCACCTCCAACAAACTCGTCTTTTTGCCTCTTTTGTGTTTTTCTTTTTCAGTATTAAGGATTGGACCTGGGTCTCAAGAATGGTGGACAAGCACTCTACCACTGAGTCCCACCCCTTGCTTTTGGGCTCCTGTACCCATGGCCTTCATCAGTTCAGTGAGCCCCTCAATTTCTTCTACCCAGAAGACTTCTTCTCTTGCTATTCTCCTGCCTGGAAAGTGCTTTTTGTGGCCCTTGATGTTACCAGCTCAGCTTCATTTTTCAGGTGTCACCTTAAATCCATTGCTGTTGGATTTTACTTTTGTAAACAGTTTTTGCTTTATTCTTTTATCCAAGATTGCTTTGGCTATTCATGGTATTTTGAGGTTTCAATCAAATTGTAGATTTGTTTTTTTCTGTGTTTGTAAAAATGTCATTAGAATTGTGATGGGAATTGCTTTCAATCAGTGGATTCTTTGGGTAGCATGGGGTGTTTCAACAATACGAACTTCTCTAATTCATGTTTAAATATTCAGTATTCAAAAATTCCAATTGACTTGTGTCCTCCTCAATTTTCTCATCAATATTTTATGGTTTTATAGTTTTCAGTGTATAGATCTTTCACCTCCCGAGTTCAATTTATTCCTAAATATTTTTGTAGCTATGGTAGAAGGGATTATTTTCTGGATTTATTCTTTATGTGGTTTGTTTCTAATGTAGAGAGCTATTATTGCATTTTGTACATTGATTTTGTATCCTTAATTTAATTTATTTATTAGTCCTAACATTTTTAATTGGTTCTTTAAAATGATTATGTTATGTGCATAAATGCCATTTCCTTATTTCTCACTCGGATGCCTTTCAGATCTTTCTGCTGCCGAATTGCTCTGAGTACCATATTGTTTCCAGTACCATATTGAAAAGAAATGAAAAGCATAGACATCCTCCTCTCATTTTGAACTAAGAGTAAAAACTTTTAACTTTCATCATTGAGTAGGATGTTTGCTGTGAGTTGTCACAAATGGCTTTTGTTGTGTTTTTAAGCCTAATTTGTTGAGAGTT